CTATCAACTGACAAATTATAGGTTATGAATAGGTTTCTTAAAATTGTATAATTTTATATTGGAATTATATTGGATATAAAAAGAAACGATAAAATAAAAAAAAGAATGTTCAATTTAAATAGGATTTAAAATTATAGTTTATATCATGGTCAGGATCAGTTTACACATAAATTGTAATATCGTAAATTAATTGTAATTAATTATCGAGTGACAAATTATAGGTTATGAATAGGTTTCTTAAAATTATATAATTTTATATTGAGTGGAATATAAAAAGAAACGAAAAAGAAAAAGAAAGAAGAGAGAAGTATTTAATTTGCACTAATTTAAATTATTGAATTGTTGTAATATTATAAATTAATTATAATTAATTATCAAGTGATAAATTATAGGTTATGAACTCGTAGATTTCTTGAAATTATATAATTTTATTCCGAATAGGGATAAAATAGAATAAATTTTTTTTATTTCATTGTTCGAATCTGTTCTACTTGTATTGGAAAATTTATTAAAATATTATTAGATAGCAATTTATTGTATGTCAAGTTTTTTGATATATGAAGATGTATCGCTTGACATATTTTGCATCTTCAAAGTAAATCATTTTTCTGCTCTAAAGTTATATAATTATTTTGCAAAAAAAGTCTCGATTATGTCCTCGATTCGATTTCGATCGAGTTTCCAATACTTCGCGATATAAAAAATATTTAAAAAAATTTTATTGTAAATGAAGGAAAACTATTAAAATATTGATAATTATTAAATGAAATGAAACTAATTTTTAATAATGTGTGAAATTAAATAAATATTTTATTTTATAAAGAAGAGTACATTATTCCAATATATCGGTTTCATGTATATGTTAGATATTTACATTGTATAAAACTCATTTATCTAACTCATTGGTTTTCCTATAGTTCGTAAGTGACGAGAAACTGTTATATAATGCATACCTAATTTGTGTGCAACATCTCGCATATAGCATCTGTGACGCATATCAGACTGCGCTAAAGTCTTCAACCGATTATCGATCATGTTCATGTCGGTAGCATAGTTTGTTTCGAAAGTTCATGTATCTTGATCAACGTTTCTTTTTATAACAAGTTATAACTTTTCTTCATTAGATTATCGATATCACTTATTTTTGATAGATGTAAATTTTATAAAAAGTTTAATCTATCAATTATATCGTATAATTGATATAATAATAATTTTTAATTCTTGAATTGTTCGTTCATTCGCATTCTTTATTCTTCGTTCTTTATTACAAATGTTGAAATTCAATAATTAAAAGTAAGTTTTTAATTTTAATAAATAATTAATTTAATAATTATTTTATAATTGTATTTAATTTTATCGTTAAACTTGAAAATAAAATTTTCTGTCGAATGTTCTCTTGATATCACTAACCGGAATAAGCAGACCGTCTTTGTAATTCTCTCGGGATTGTAATGCTCAAATTAATTCTATTGTTACACGTTTCGATTCTGACTATTGTATGTCAAATTAATATCGGAGAACCGATTCTATTAGCACAAACAAGTATTGGAATTAAATGATCGCAAAAGATTAAACTTTGCCTGAGAAAGTAATAATATTCGTATTATCACTTTAATTTATATTATTTACTTTAATACTTTTTCTTAAGAATTATTTTTTCGTTTCGATAATTAGAAAATATATATAATGTTGCACTATTTTTCATTTATAATTGATCATTTCTCAAAAAGAATAATTATTATTCTTTTCTTTTTAAATAAAAAGTAAAGATTTGAATATTTATAATTAATAATTTCTAAATAATATTTGCATACAAATTTAGGTTATCTTTTCTTTAATATTCCAAAAATATCATTTGTATTTCTTTGATTCTAAAAGTTTTGAAATTTATCACAATACTACAAATTAATTTTGAATTAAGATACCAAGAAAGAAGAAGAAAGGAAAGAAAAGAATGATTCGCTTTCTTGATTAGCCATCCGAATGGTGCGATATCAGTGGCGTATCGGCTGTCTAGATAATCGACGAGTGCTCGTGAATGGAATTTAATTACGGCCCATGGTATGGCATATCTCGTTCCAGTTCTGTAGAAAAGGCAAATTAAACGAACCGCAAAACTAAGCGATAGATTGTGCATTATATGTCGGAAATACCATGAGAAATTAAAGATATAATGTCTAAATAAACAACAGATAGCACATGAAATATTTTGTGATGTGAAAGTATATATAACCAAATTTCTTTGTTAAAATAAAATTCCAATATATCTAATTCCAATATTATTTTTATTTATATTTCTGATTAATATTTGTTTATTAAATTTTATTGTGAAATAAAATTTTGTATGATTATTATATCTTATTATTATATCAAATTATATGAATTATATATCATTTAGAAATTTAAAGAAGTGTTTCATTCTGGATCTGCTAGAGGGATTCAACAGCAGCACCATCTAGATTGTTCATATTCTAGACACCATGATAGTAATGGCATCTTAAATTAGAGAGTGCGTTTGTGGAGACGGTTAAGTGAATGCTTGTGAAAATTGTTTTTTGATGTGAATTTCTCTAGTGACAAATATAGAAGAAACGCTACAGTATGAAACAAATGAAGGTAATTCTATCATAAATTGTATAATTATAATTAGCCAATGATGAATTTCATCGTATAAATATACGTACTTACGTGTATATATAAAACTATATAGTATTGAGAGGTTAAATATACGAACTATTTGTCATGGACAAATTTTATGATCAATTTGCTTCAAGACTCAAATATCAGATTACTAAATACATATCTAAAAAGAAATTCTTCCCTTTTTTGCAATAAAAAGTACTATTTTTCGATCCGAAAACACAAATAATACTGTCTGTTGTCGAAAATTCTCTCTTCATAACGTGAAAATTGTCCAAGATACATTGGTTCAATTTCGACACATACCAATCGACAAACGTGTCATTTATATCTATATTTACGAAACAATTGATATGAGAAATTTAAATAAAGTCGCGATTAAGAGATGATAGGATTTTTATTTGGATTAATATTATTAATGAAATTTTATAATTAATATTATAATTATATATAATATCGACACTAATAGTGATATTCTGTTTTGTTTCAGTGGTTATCATGGAGATGGATATCCATTCGATGGCAGAGGCCAAATTCTAGCACACGCATTCTTTCCTGGCAGAGATCGAGGAGGAGATGTACATTTTGATGAGGAAGAAATATGGTTGTTGCAGGGCGACAACAATGAAGAAGGTAAAAAAATATATTTAATATATTACATTTTCTCTTTTAATATATAATCAATAAGTTTATCATTATACAAAATGATTTTTAAAATAAAATAAAAATATTTTCAATAAAAATTTTATATCTTTAGATAAAATTATATTATTTCTAAACAAAAAACGATAAAAAGTTTGAATTAAATTGTTAATTAAAGCTAAATATGTCGTATACTGTTTTTATATTCTATTAAATTCGTAAATCCGATGAAACCATAACTCTTTAATTCTATTGAATATCTATTGAAATCGAGAAGTTAGTAATGAAATTTCAAACTAACGATTCAAACTCGTTCAAATATCAAAAAGTAAATACGATCTTTCTAGAATTATCCTCGGTCGGTAACAATAAATCGTGAAATTTAAACCTGGATTTTATAACAGTGACGAGAGGGAGACATAAGAGAAAAGTTTAGAGGGATTCGCAGACAAAAAGAAAAGATTCGTGAACCGAGAAATTTTCGCAAGAGAAATCGAGCCCTTCTCGCTTTTTGGCAATTCGCCAATTCGGTCACCTCGTGACCGAAAGAAGAAATAAGGGGATGACGATGGAAAGCGTTTCTCTATTCCACCATGTTGCCTTATCGCTATTCTCGATCGATAACATCGCTTATCGTTTTCTAGAGTTTCTAGAATCTAAGAACATATTAATTTAACGATAAATTCTTGTTGAAAAATCGCTTATCGAAAACTTTAAAATATTTCTTTCTTCTTAAAATGAAGTATTGTAAAATTTTCGTTCTATTTTTTGAAAATGAAATTGTAAATTAAACTTGCTTTTTATTAAACTAAATTTATTTTCTTATTAAAATTCAGAATTTATCGATATTTGCCAATATTTTTTAATTTTTTTTAGAAATTAGTGAAATTAATGATATAAATATTCGATATAACATAGCACGATTAATAGGAGAACTGAACGACGTAGGTGAATAACAGGATAATTATGTTAATGGAAACTATGCAAGGCTAGGAGAGAATGAGAGCTAAGCCAGAATTATTAACGAGGCCAATCGGAATTACACCAATCACCTATCGAAATTGGACTACGTGTAATAATCTGCGATATAGGAAATAGATTCTGATTAACCTTTTTTGATTTTCTTTCTATACTCGTGATATCACTTAACAATAACTCGATTATGAATTCGAATTTAATGACAGGAATTATTATTATTATCTAAGCTTTGAGAAAATATTTTTATTGATAAATTGAAAAACTTTATTGCTTTTTTTTATTTTATATTCTAAACTTAAACTTCAAAATATTTTTATACTAGTAATTAATAATGTGATGATCGGACAACACATTCAGGAAATTGTATGAATTTACTTCCATGTAATTGGATTCAGAATTATACTCTCATCTCGAGAATCATTGGCGAAATTGTTTGTTCTCGCTTCACTTTGATTATTCCTGTTGTGTGCATTGCATTGCGTTCACATGTATCGTGAAAGAGAGATTTATCCTGTATTTGCTTATATTGGTATTTTTAAATTGATTTGTTGAAAGAAAAACAACATTAGTTTTAAGATACCATGATGTTTCAACAAAAATTTAATTATAGCTATATATTTTACTTATATCTTAATCTAATCTTTAAGAAAAGTAAAAATTTTAATTTTCACATTTTAGACATTTAAATTTATCGTATTTTCTGTTAATCAAATATTATTGGATAATTTTCATACATACATTTGATTGAAAAATTAATGTTGTTATCGAGATTCGAATAATAGAAACTAAGGAGCCTTTCACAGACAATATGTAGTGTTGGTGTCAGTTATGAATTGCTAATTTCATCGCTGACACATCCCGTCGAGAACCGTAGGACGTTTGCAAACGATGAGAAGCCGGAACATCACGATTTGCAAATCCATTGGAAAATTAGCATTCTCCTCGAATAGTCTTGACAGAAATACATCTTGAATACGAAACAATTTGAAATTCTATCAAAAATAATCGTGTTTCCGGATATTTTTAACATGACGAATAAAAATAAATAAATAAGATTGAAATATTCCGCCTTTTCATTCAATTTTTAAAATTTTATTCTACAATTTATTAGAATTATTAGCGTATTTATTTATTTATTATAAAATAAATTTAAAGCGTGTATAGATTTAAATAAAAATATTTTTTTTATTTTTTTTATAATTGATAAAATATATGTAAGAAATAATTTTAAATTGTTTAAATTTCTCTCTTGCAGTAAAATTTCGAATGAATTCATATGTGATGTCATAAACACGTGAACATAACTGTTGTGGATCTGTTTATGACAATAAATAAGAATCAGAAAATATTGCATCACGATATTTGAAACCGATTTAATTTTTCGTGTATTTGATAAAAAATGTAACAAACGACACGACAATTTCGACCACATCCAAATCGAATAAACACGTGACAAAGTGTTAAAATAATCGTGAGATATTTTTGAAAAATTAATTTCCAGAGGCCGAAGTAAAAATTGATATACAAAAAAATGTCGTCGAACTTCATGTACTTTTATAATTTAATAAACAACCAACATTTTTGTATATCAATTTTTATATTTTGTTAACCTCAATTCTCCAATAGATGTCCATATATTAACACTTTTTGTATATGATTTCCAGACAAATCACTTATCCTATATTTTCTTTTTTTTATTTTGTTTCATTTCTTAATCTTCTTCTGTAATCGATCCGTTTATTGAAAACTTAACTTTCCGTTGTAAAATAATATCGAAATTATTTTCTATCGAGTAAAAGTATATGTAAATATGTAATAATGCTCGAACTTTTAATAAAAAAAAAAAAAAGAACTTTCAAGTTCGCGAAAAACTTGCCGGGCATATCGAGCAATCTGAAATGCCCTTCGAGGACGACCGTAATCCATTCCACTTATTTTCATGCTCGTCCTCGAGCGGGCTTTTGATTAAGAGCACTTGACTCTGGTATATTGCAGCCAGCTGCTGTTAACGTCGAGATTCCGAAGTATCACGTGCGACGCGATGAAAGTTCGTAACGAGGAAACTTCCATCGGAAGATGCCACGATTTAGGCCTTCGCGTGGACTTCCTTCCTATAATTGATGCTTTCCAATGTTCTTTCGACTGTCAGATTAATACTTATCTCAAATGTGTCAAGTATTTTATCTTATCTGATTTCATGCTCGAAGTGTAATCTACAGTCTGCAAACTTGTAAACAAACTGGAGAATATTTTATTCGAAGTAATGAATTTTTAGGTTAGATATAGATTTTTAGGTTAGAATTTTAGGTTAGATATAATGAAATTATTATTTCAAGGTTTAGATTTAGATAATACTCGTTAAATTCTTATAACGTTGATTTTTATTAGCCACGCACATTTTAGTAAAATAATAAATTAGGTTGGATTATAGATGGATGTAAAATTTCTTTTTTTTTTTCGTAATTTAATAAGTTAATAAAAAAATAAATTATTTACTTTGCTAAAAAAATTTGGTTATTTCAAATATTATAACATTTTTATAAGAAAATTAATCGATATATCGTTTAAAAATACGAACTTAAAAATATAACCTTCACATATTTTCTGCATGTAGAAGAGAAAATTCGTATTATCCATATTTTATTCAATTAATGCATATTAAAATTTTCTTCTTTGATATTAAAATCTGTTAAGTCTCGACAGAGTCGGGAAGTTAATCTCATCGAAATAGTATTCGTACATATTCGTGTATATATCTCTTTAGTCGAGTTGAAAATTTTAAGCTGGGATCCAAGCCAAACACGTTACGCTATTCGTGACAATACCGAGGGTTCACGGTTATTGGCTATTCAGGTGTAATCTTTACTATGCTGGTCGATTACATCACCCATCCTTTTCTCAACTATCTTATTTCGTCTAGCTATCGCAAAGCAGAGTAGGTCTTATTTCGATACTCGAGTCCTGGAAAGTCTGGCAACTCTGCAAGCATGCGTCAGTCTCGCAAGGTATAAAACTAGATATTTCTATTACTGTTCGCAAAATTAACCTAACTGATACGAAGTGTAATTTGAAAAGATTTCTTTCGATTCAATTTTGTTTTATATTGTTTCGTTTATATTTGATGTTTTTCGTAAATTTTTTCAGAATCAGAAAATGAGATTTGTTCCATAACAAGGAATTCATTTCGTCTTGGTATTTTAATAATTACTGCTCGAAGGAAGTTCCTGTATAGAATCTAAAATATGTTGATACTCGATTTAATTAGTTCAGAAATTTATTTTCTCCCTTTAATATCTCTTCGAAAACTATTTTCTTTAAAAATTTTCGAAATTGGTGATTATAGGTTAGGAAACATTCTAGGAATTAATTTTTGAATTGTTTCCGAATAATACTTTGGATGATTTTTATTTTTATTTGTTACTTTTAATTTTGATCATAATATTATTATCTTTTTATTTATAAATAATTCTATTTGATAGGTTAACAGGTTTTGAGTGACTGACTGATTATTGATTGACTATATCTACTGAATGTCGAATGTCTGACCATTAATTGACCAATGGTATATTTACTCATCATTAATTTACCAATAATCGAATATATTGAGAGAATCAAAATATAATATAATAGTACGTGTAATAATATAAATTATATATAACACAAATTATACATTTTATTATTCTTTTGCAGATAATAAATTTTATGTATAACGAATGAAGTTAAAATAAATTTAACGAAACGTTAAATCACTTTACATTAATTTACTTTCGACAGATATTATCGAGAACATTATTTAGAACATTACAGTTGAACAGAATAAAAATTGATGCAGATTTTTTTTTTATTTTCAACGATACGTGAGAAAGGAAACGATCGCATTTATTCCCTCTTTCGTAGTGACTGAGCACGCTTCCTTTATTGCCAGCTTCCCAAGCTTTAATTTTATGATTTTGACCCACATTTTAAAACGAATGTCCCGAATGCGAAGCGAGACGGAACATAGATAAAAAGAGATCAAAAGAAAAAGCACGCTAACGCCTCGAACTCGATGCCTCCTGTGAAAACTTTAATATCCATCGTCACAAACGTAAATATTATCAGGATTCCTCTTTCACGAATAATATATCCCGAATAGAAACGTTTCATATTACGATATTCGTCGAGATTAAAAGATTATTCCAGATATCGAAGAATTACAAAATGTGTTACACCTGTTTTCCATTCTATTACGATATCTGTTTGCCAATCTCTTTAAATAAAAAATATGAAATTAAAATTTCTGATATAGAAAATTTTGAATTATCGAGATTGATTAAATTTTATTTCAACGCAATCTAACGAAATATAATTTAATTTATACGCAACTTTTTATCGGAAAATAATTTTGAATGTGGGACATAACTTTTTAAAATAAATCAATCGATAATTAACGTTGAGTGAATATTCATTCCATTTGAATATCATTTCCACGAATTCATTCATATTTGATGTTCAATTTTATCTTCGCACGACTTGCGGCTTAGGTTTTCATCTATGTTTTGTTAATATTTGAATTATTATCACAAATTGATGTATTATCGTACGTTAATTATTGTTTACTTCGCCTTATCCGCTTCGCATTTGTATTTAATTAATTCTCTTATTTTGTGTTTACGGATCTCCACGTTTCAATGAAATGTATTAAATTATCGTTTCTAATTAAATCTCTTTATCATTTACCTTTACTGAAAATTTAATATCTTTTTTTTTCTTTGAATTATATTTCAATTTTCTTTTTGATATTCTTTAGTAAAAATTACGTAATCACTTTTTGAAATAAACTTTGTTTGAAAATTTATATATATATATATAATTATTTGATAAGCTTGTTTCTCAAATTTTATTTTCTGTAAATATATTTTTTATGAATCTCTCTTCTCTTTCCCTGAAATGTAATAAATGCATAGATGCACTCTTAGATATTTAATATAAGTTAATGCATTTTCGTAGAGTTAAGTGGATTTTCTTGAATTAAGGTCACTGCCAATTTCAAGATAATGGAATTGTATAAAATTTTTTTTCTCAATAATTATCTGTCTTACAGAAAATCTAAAAAATATGAAAACTTATATAGTGCATAGTAATTTTTTCAAAACTAACCTAAAAAAAAAAGACTTCTCAATTGAAAATTTCAAAATAAATTTAAGAAATTTCACAATTTATATAATAAAAAATATCAAAAAATTATCATTACAGCGTTACAACTTGACAATCCATAAGAATTTCAATATTGATTTCGACAAATGGCTGATAAAGATCATCAACTTGATACCCTTTCAATAAAACAGTATCCAAACTAACCTTTTTTTTCCCTGGAATTTTATTTCCACTTCAAAATGAATGTTGCAGTTTGGTTCAAGAAATCTTATTTTCCTTTTTCAAAGAAGAAAAAAAACTCTGGAATGAAAATGAATAAATAGGAATGGTCGACTAAGACGGACGAGGTTTGAAACATTTCCTTCGCTTTCAGGGACCAGCCTTTTCGCGGTAGCCGCGCACGAATTTGGCCACTCACTTGGGTTGGCGCACAGCTCGGTTCCTGGTGCACTCATGTATCCCTGGTATCAAGGATTGAGCTCTAATTACGAGTTGCCGGAAGACGACAGACATGGGATTCAACAGATGTACGGTGAGTGTATATTGGATAATTGCGTTGAGAAGCAATAATTATTCTGTGTATCCAATTTCAAAAATGACGTTCTTTTTCGATAAATCATGATATTTCTTTTTCATTTCTTTTTTCAGCCATGATTAGATTGTAAATTTAAAGTTTTGAGTGAACGTAAGTAAAATATGGGAAAAAATTTTCTCTTGATGCATCAGTTAATGAAGTAGCATATCTTGAATAGATGGTAGCACTAGTGATTCAATTCATATGTATATATATATATATATATATTAAATGTTGTCTTCTTAAAATTAAAAAGAAAACAAGTTTCAAATGAATAGAAGACATTATTGATGATAATTTTAATCAGTGAGAAATTAATTAACAAATTAGAAGTTGATTTTAGTATGAAGTTATGCATATTTTCGTTTCATTATTTTTCTAAAGAGACGATAGATACACGTTCCATTTTCTTTCAACTTCTCAAAATTTTTCAACCATCCCCTTTTTGGCATAATATAATATAACATAATAATAACCTGGTTGATAACACGGATCAAAATCTCTGAGGTCGTTAGATTCCGCCAGTGAATTAATTCCCGCATTTTCTGCATAATGAAGTATCGTGCACCTCGACACGGCCTACCTGCATTGACGACAACTCCCTCGCACTTCCTTTTTGCCGCTTTTTGTCAAGTACATCTTGCTTGCTCACGTACCTTCTTGTTCTCAAATCCCATTTCTTTTATTCTTTAAAATCATGAAAAATTAGATATTGTGAAAAATTTTTCAAAATTCTTTAAGAACATGTTTTGTACGTCATTTTTTTACTCAACTTTCAACTGTCTATCTTTATTAGTTAATCAATTTTTAAATCAATCCTGCCTCTATTCAATTGAAATTCATAAGAGGAATAATTAGTTAATTTTTCTCTTCCTTCAAAAGAACAAAATGATACTCTTCTATTTTCGTTCAATAAATTGAAATTTTCCTGCAATATACTTCCAATGCTTCCTGTGATACGTTTAATTTACTCCAACACCGTACAGATGATTCACAATAACCGAGAGACCAGCAGTAAAACCTTTTAATATCGTTTCACCGCGATATTTCTAGAGGATAAAAATGTATACCAAAAAATAAATATATATATATATATATATATTCACGCGTACGAGTTGACGAGTTAACAAGATTGTTCTGTCCTCTCTACGTTTCTTTTTACCTCCCTCTTCCTCCATAAAAATTAGTTTTTATTCGTTTCTAGAGGAAACACGGTTAACGCGGTATATTCCTAGGGAAAAATCTGAAAGGACGTATTATTCACAGAGGATAATTGAAGTCTGAAATATATATATGGCCAGCCAAACGAAATTCACGATAAATCGAGAAAACAATTTGGCGAAATAATCGTGAATGTAGAAAGATGCCTGCCCCCGCAGTTGGTAACAACAGGGTGAAATGAAATGTGAATAAAATATAAAGGACGATCTCTACACCATACTCTTTGCCTGCAAAGCCGTGTACGTTCGGGTGATTTAGTGTACCAGAAAGGTTTGCAAGCCTCTCCGAGGATCGCAAATGCATTCTATCTATCCCCTCTTCCCTTCTGTTTTTGTCCACTCCCCGCATTCCTTTTTCTCTCTTTCACCTCTCTCCTCCCCTCTTTAAACGCATTTGTCCCGTTTCCTCTCTTATACAAAGCCAATTTCTTCTTTTATTCTTTATTCCGTCTACCACCATTTTTATTCATTCCCTGTAATTTTTTTCTTATCCACACACTATCTCTTCTTCTATTTTATTTTTGNTTTTTTTTTTTTTTTTACTATTCCTTCAGAATGTGTAGCCTATATTAATTTTTCCCTGTGCTTGTGTTGTTTTTCTCGCGTTATTTTTCTTTTACTATGCCCCCTTTCTGCATTTTTTATTACATCATTTTATCCACATCCGTTTTTGATTTTTATCTCGGTTACTTGGCAAACATTGAATTCATTTTCATTTCATTGTTTACAAATTGTTTGTCTGATAATTTTTCATCGTGACGGAGAAAAATGACGGATAGATGAGATAGAGATTTTTTTGTTGCGTGTGTTTAACATTTTGTTAAACTCTTAATTAATGTTAAATGATAATGTTAAAAGCGTCAGTTTCAGTTTCAGTTAAATTCACTATAAATCAATCTATATCAGGTATATTGGGATTTTCTCTCAAATTTATTTATATAAATAAAGCTTTAAATATATAAATTTGATTTATTTAGAATTCATACTTATATAATGTATGTAAGCTGTTGTAAAAATAATTTATATTATTGAAATTTTCATATTCATGTATATATATATATATATTATTATAAAATAAAAAAAATTGGTTACAATTTGTAATAAAACATATTTTCTCATTATAAAATATAATTGTGTGATATCGATTTTAATATATGTATTTTTTCTCCTATTAAAAATGATGTTATATATAAAAATATAAACAGTAATATAATTATTATTTATTTAGTGAAATCAACAAACACAGTTTCTTCATAAATCTCTTAATTGGAACGTATACGAAGATATGTACATTCTAAATTGAAAAACGTATGTTTCCTATTAAACGATGCAAACAAATTTATTTAATCTCAGTGCAGAGTTCTTTGATGCAACAAAAAGATCAATAAACAATAATTTTATTCAAACGATTGTTCTATGTGTGTTTCATCAACAAACAAATTATTTTTACAACAGCTCAATCTTTTTCATAATTATTAATCATTATTATTTTCATTTTGACTATAATCATTGTTTCTATCTGTATGATATGAATTGTTTTATAAAGAAAAGAAATATAAAGAAATCAATCATATTTTACTTATTTTAAAATTGTTATATATACTAATTCAATTAATAATAATCTTTTATTATGTGAATTTAACTGTAGAATAAAAATAAAAAAATATTTTAAATATTTTATCTAAAAGTAAAAAAAAGAGAGAAAAATATTTAATTAATATATATTAATATAATTATTCTTCTTATTCTGAGCACCTATCTATTCTTATAAAAAAAAAAAAACTAGGAATTCATGATATAGTTATAGTATCGTAATTTAAGGAATATTAATGAATAGATTGATAGTCTGTCATAAAATGGACATCGTTACTTTCAAAGGCAAACTCTGCATGTATTTCCAATGTTCGTGACGTTGTGAAATTCCTATACCAACAAATAGATATATATATATATATGTATATATATGTATAAAAATCGTCCAACAAAGTTTCGTTCTCGACAAAAACACGACGTGGCGCTTTTCAACAGTATCTATTGGTATTTACGGCTCCTGGTGCTTGTCACGAAAACACCCGAAAATCCAAACGTAAACAAACTACAGGACGTTAACGTTGAATTCTAACTTTTCTAAAACGATCAGCAGTATTGTGTTTCTCTCTTTATTCGAATTTTTTATAGGCTATAGTTTTCCACTTCCGTCACATACAACAGTGGCTAGAGACAAACAGTGGTGAAAGATATACAATAGATACAAAGTCGTTCAAAAATATTGGATTTTTAATTTATTGACGTATACATATTATTTTTTTTTTTTTAAGAAATATAGATATTTTATTTTTTAAATTGTAATTGATTAAAGAATTAATAATTGTTATAAAAATATTCTTACATAAATTGTAATACAATTGATAAAAGGTTATAGTGGAATTTCTAGTAAGATTTATAATTTAATAAGTTAAATATAATACCTAATTCATAATTTTTTTTATTCTTATTATAAAATAATAGGAAATTTGTTTTCATTAATATTAAATAATTTTTAAAATTAAATTCATCAATTTTAATTTTATATTATATTTATGCTATCTCGTTTTCAGTAAGTTGATTTCTATTTTTTGAGGTTATGATATTCATTAAAATGATTTCATATATTATTATTAAAAGCATTTGAATTGAAACTTTATATATATTGCAAATATAATATATTTTTTTCCAGAAAAAATCTAAATTTATTTTTATACATGTGTATATATATATATGAAAACATTTTCTTCAAATGTTTGCTTGCTGTATTGTGAAAATAGTAACGAAGGTAACCTAAGATTCTTACAAAGTACCTATTATACATAAAACTACAAATATGTGAGATGTGCAGAAAATATACCGGAGCAGAGTAAAGTTTTCCAACATTCTACAAAGGATTACAAATTGTATGTTTATAACTTTAAAGTTGTTCAATTTTTACAATAATTCCCCCCAAGTCTTTTATAATCTAATCACAATCTTCATTGTTAAAGAAAAAAATAATTTTACTTTGAAAAAAAATAGACTTTTAAATGCTTTTTCTACAATAATATCGCATTCTTTACATTAAATAGGATAATAAAAATATTTTGCAATTAATATAACAATAAAAAAATCCAAACGAAAAAATGAAATAATTATAAAAGATTAGGTGCTTCAACTTTTTCACAGACGAAACTGAAAAAGTTAAAATTTCTCTGGGAAAAAAAAAAAAACGTAATTTTATTTTACAGTAACGTACATAAAAGCAACAACCATTATCGTCCTCTACGGGAAAAATAAAGTAAAAAAAGTCAGAAAAAGGATTGCATAAAATGTGGAATCACGAAAGCTTGAAGTAGTTCCTCGAGATTTCCTTTTGGGATTCAAATCTTGCGTTTCAACCTCTCGATGCTTGTTTGCAGAAAGGTTGGTACATAAAGTTAAAAAGAAGGAAAGAAGAAAACAAGAAGAAGAGGGGGAAAAAACGGATGCAAATCTCAAGACTTCTCTTTTCTTCTTACAACTTCGTTTGAAGAGAAGGATTCTCCTTGCATCGCAATGCGATGTTTCATAAACGTTCCTCTGAGGACACTTTGCTTCCTGTCTTAATTACCTCGATCTAACTCTTTCTTTTCTGACTATTTTCTTCTTCTTCTTCTTTTCTTTTCGTTCGTTTCATACGTTTCATTCTTTCCTTCACCGAGCACAGCATGCTATTTAATCGAAAGTTTCACTCGAGTTTCACTGCAGTGCAATGCTGTTGGTGTTTCTTTGTCGATCGTTGTTTGCTCCCCACGGCCTCTTTCTTCTCTCATGAAGAAACTTAAATTTTAATGTACTATTTTTTTTTCACTTCCAAGAGCTTAACAATTATTAGTAACCTTGAGAAGATAGTGAATGAATGAAATTTTATTTTTGAATATGTTCATTGTTATCTTTATTTTTTATCGAAAGAAATTTCTTGGTAATTAATTTAACAAAGTATTGAATAATATTTTATTATAAAAATGATTTAAAAATTAAAAATTATTCTAAAAAAGATAGAATAGTTAATAAAAATATATATATAAACGATTAATAAAATAAATTAATCAATTACAGATTTTATTATGTTATATTTTTAGCATAGTACTTATTAATTTACATTTTTAATATATTTATTTATTAATGTATTATCAAAATAGACAATTTCATACATCAATTTCAAGTTCTTTTGTTAATTATTACATCTTTGAGGAATATTCTGATTTAGTACTTAATAAGCAAAATTTAAAGAATTTGAAGAAGAAAAAAAACTCTTCTTTCCATTCATCTTTTTATTCTGTATTATACATAGCTTTCATCTTTTCATTTCAAAATCTCATTATCCGAAAGTAGTCATTCCAACAGCCATGTATCAAAGTATATTGCTTCTTTTTTCTCTTTTCGTTGAATTTATATTTGTATCAATTGTTAGATGATTGTAATAAATAAAATATCTTCTAGATAACTATATATATGATAGTAAATTTTGTTACTTTTAAATTTAAATTAAACAACTAGTTCTCCATTATTCTTTTAATCCATAATTTTTAAATATTATTAAAATTTTATTTTCGAATATTTTAATTCCTACTTTAATCATTGTTAAGATTTTAATTTATTTATTTATTAAGATTGTTTCAAAAATTTTTTAAACTTAATTAGATAATGAAATAGAAATATATAGAAAAAAATTTCTTGAATTCTTTGAAAATTTAAAAAACTTAAAGGTATGGATAAAATCTAAAATCATGAATTCGATATTAAATGAAAGTTAAACATTTTAACTTCTATTAATAATTTTAATTACCTGTAGTGTTAGGAGTATTATAACTATTTTTAAATCTTCTTATACGATAAATTCGAATTTTTTTTTAATAAATCAATTATTCAGTAATAATTTTCCACTTTTTCAACTTGAATATTCGAGCTTTTAGCAGTCTTTAACATTCAATCTGCTGACGTGAGCATAGATGATAAAAATTCATTAGCATAAAGAAGAGAGTCGCTTAATCGCATGAATCACTTTTTTTTTTGAATTAAAATTATAATCCGACAGTCTGAAAATTAAAAATGAAATATACAGCATCGTTTTTAAAAATATTTTTCTTTTTCCTTAAATAGATTTTAATGTTGTTTATTTGATTATTTGGCTCAAACTATTATTTCACTCATAATTTTATTTCAAATAGTCCGATTCCGAATTTTCCCGATCCATCCCGAAGTTAAATTTTTAAGTCACGTGATTATTGTATTATCATTGTGCATACATACATCTAACATACATCTAGTTACAAACGAAAAGCAATTGGAATGTTAAGAATCAATTACTACTAATTAAACTAAATATCTATGTTTCAAAATAATATATGTACCTAATAAAATTCGTAATACACAAAAATGTGTTAGATTATTAAAAATTGCAAATATATTTCCAAATAACCTAACCTAATTTCGTTTTATGTATTACGTATTCATTTGCTTCCAATTCATTAATTTTATATATTTCAAGTGAAAGAAGATGATAATCGTAATAATTTTAAGTTAAATTATAGAGAAAAGCAAAAGATGAGAGAAACAATCAAGTTCCCTTGAAAGGTAAACTATAAGCGAGAAGTCAATGGCAATAAACGTTATGCATAATACATCGCGGCATGCAAAGTATATATCATGCGCAACCCTGTGCTATCTGCATTATTGCATTATTCAGGAACGGTGTATGTCCCAGAATCGAATGATAATTAATATTCGCAAGGGAGCTACCAATTAGCGAGTGGAATCTGCACGCGGCTGCGACAGAGAGAGAAAGAGAGAGAGAGATTAGAGTTACAGAAAGAAATAGACAGAAAACACTTATCCATTGGCAAATCTAACATCGTCTCTTTGTTGATTTAATAATTATGACAATTATTATAATTAACCATTCTTTTATATTCTAAAATCATATTCTAATTCTCTATCATGTTGAAAATTTTTTATATTTTCGTATGTATCTAGAAAAAAGATTGAATGTTTTATAAATTTTTATGTAAGAAATTTATTTTTTTAAATCTTTCCTTGAAAACAAATCGTAATTATTATTATTATTATTTAAAATTGTTCAAAAATATTTAAAAAAATAATGTTACATGAAAATCATAATAAATTGATTCGATGAAATATTGCGAAATATAAAATAAATTTGTCCCCTTTCGTTCCGACTTATTGGAAACGAATTCAAGATTGAATCGTCTTCTCGGGATAATAGATCTTTACATTTCTACATAAGTTTCCAATAAGATTGCAGCTTATCGCTTCCTTTCATTCCAATTACGTATATCGATTCGTGCAAATTAATTTAAACTATTCGTACACTTTCACAAATTGGGTATTTATTTTGCTGAAAAAAATTTTAAATCCTTGATTTTATAATTTATCTTTACAATTATCACAGTCAGAATTTTTCCATATATCAATTATACTACAAATTTTCAATCACATTTATTCATTCTAATGATCTGAATATAATCAATCCAGTAATATTTATTTGGCGAGGATTATCACACGGTCATGTTACAGGTGCACCGGAAGAGAGGCTCTGGGCCAATCTACCAGGTGGGCCACCTCCTCCGGAACGACCTACAACACCTCGAACAACTACGACAAGCGTTGGGACGACCTACAGACCATGGAGAACAAGACCAACCAGGCCGAATCACTATCCAAACGACGATCGGCCTCGACGCCCTGATCACTACCCTCAAAAGCCGGATTATAGAACGGAGAGTCCAGAGAGGCCGGAGAATCGACCTCAGAGGCCTCACAAACCTCACAAACATCACACGACTTCCACTACAACTACAACTACTACTACTGCTGCTAGTATCACCACCACCACAAGTACCACTACCACTACCACCACCACTATGAGAACACCATACACGCAAAGGCCGAGGCATCGTTACACACCACCGGCACCAAGGAACGACAAACCGGATAAATGTGATACGACTTATGATGCCATCAGCATTATTCGTAGGGAAATTTTTGTCTTCAAAGGACGAGTATGTATTAAATAAATTGCAATGAATACTTGAACATATTCTCATTCTATTTAGTTAGACGTAAATTTATCATTATATTTTAATACTTTCATGGAATGAAGATTTTGACATCATGATATTGATAAATCAAAATATAAAAAATAATATAATTTTACATTTTTTATATTAAAATAATGAAAATATTTTAATCAAATTACTGAATTCTTTCTAACTGAAATATGATTATATTTAAATGAATATAAATTATATTGATAATTTACACATTTAATTAAAATGAAAAAAGAATGTTTTCTTTTTTATTTTATTCATATTTACTATCACTGTTTTGCATTTTTAGAAAAGGTAATACTAGTCCTGATATTATCTCTCTTGATAACAAATGTATAGCTATCCCTAAAAGAGTATTTTTTCAATTATCCATGTGTTATACCATGATTTTATGTTATTTAATAAAATAAATGATACACAAAATAATAAAATATAGACATCCATGAAAGAAATAAATCATAATAAATAAAATGATGAAACATCCACATAAATTCAGCTACATACAATAATATTTACTTATATTATATTGTTCTTTTGATTAATTAAATAATATTTATAAAGCAAATTTTAATATTTATATTTTTTCAGTATTTATGGAGAATTGGTGACCAAGGATTGTATGAAGGATATCCAGCGGAAATCACACGCTTGTTTAATCTACCTGAAGAAATCGATCATGTAGATGCAGTTTATGAGAGGCCAGACAAGAAAATAGTATTTTTTATTGGCAAAAGATATTACGTTTTCAATGCTAACAATCTCGAACCAGGTTATCCGAAACCATTGACTAGATTGGGATTACCGGAATCATTAAAAAAGATTGATGGAGCAATGATTTGGGGACATAATGGGAAAACATATTTCTTTAGTGGATCTATGTATTGGAGGTATTCAAAAATATTTTATTTAATGTTAATGTTATGATGTAAAATATTATTTTAATTAAATATTAAAAAATTAATTATTAAATATTATAAAAATTGTAATAATGTTATAATTTAAATTAAACATATAATTTAAATTATAATATAAAAATATATATATATAATTTTAACATAGGTTTGATGAATCTGTAAATCATGTAGAACTTGATTATCCGAGAAATATAAGTATGTTTGCTGGTATTGGTACAGATATTGACGCTGTTTTTCAATGGAAAAATGGTGAGTATTTATATATATTATTTTATTTATATTATATCTTGTAAAGATGATAAAGATGATAAAATATTACTTACCGTATTTTAACATATTTTTTAGGTAAAACATACTTTTTTAAAGGTAAAGGATTCTGGGAATTCGATGATCAAAGAATGAAAGTTGCACATGAAAGACAAAAATTATCGGCACCAGTTTGGATGGGTTGCCCACGAGAATTGGAAACCAATGATGTCGAAAATTATCCAAGAAAATCAAAAATCATGGCTTCGAATAACGCATCGACACGATCAACTCTTTTTGTCGGAATATTTTTAATAGCATATTTTAATAAACATTTGTAAACTGTGATATTTATGTAAAATCGTGTATAAATGCGAGCGTGTATACGTGTATGCGCTCCAATTTACACATGATGAAATTTTAACACACACTTCTCTTATACTGATTATATATATAATAATTTTAATAAAATAATTTTTAAATAATTTTGACGAAAAATTTTAAAAATAAATGACTTATCCCGATTTAATTTTTTTATATTTAAAATGCTCTTCTTTTTGTTATATAAAAAACTTATTATGATTATAATCAAGTTGTAATTTAATATATTAAATAAAAAAAAATCAAGGGAATCTTTAAATATGTTATCATTTAACTCATTATATTTAACAAAAACATATACACGTTTATTTACTGGGTCAACTTTAAACGATATGTTAACAGAATATCTTTACAGTTTTTATATTTTATTTTGGCGAGTGGACAAACGGCTGTTTTGCTCACTTTCCTTAACACAACTGTTTTAGACATTTCATTTGAGCAACAAAATATCGCGACTACAGTGTATTCGGAAAAGCGTAATCTTACAAGTTAAAACTTGTTGAACTCGAATTTTACTATGCATAAATTATTTGAATTCCACCATAGTACGCGATCGTTTTTTTACTTTTAATTTTCATTTTCTGTAAGATACTTCCATTTTATTTGTATGATAACAAAGCTTCGTTGAACATTTTATTTTTATTTCTTGATATTAAAGGCGCATATCCGGTGGAGAATATGGGTCCCAAGGATTAAGCAACCTTAGTGTAGTTTGAACAATGGTATCTACTTCTGCCATTCCACCTATTCCTACATCACCACACATAAGAGTTTTAGAAATGCATGCAACTTCTTTGTATCCCCAAGACTTCAATAGAGCTATCTAAAACAAAATTGATATTTAATTACTATATACAATAATTTTTATTAAAATTATATTGATTCATATTGATTGCTGCAAAAAAATATATAATAAAAATGATATATTATTTAAATATTATAACATATACCTGTGTTGCAGTAACGGGATGTTCCCACATTTTTGTATTCATGGCAGGACAAAAGACCAAAGGCTTTAATGGATCCCAGGCACGTGCAACACAAGTTAATATATTATCACATATACCACTAGCTATTTTACCAAGAGTATTAGCATCTAATGGAGCAATTAAAAATAAATCGGCCCATTTCACTAAATCAATATGCAATACAGGATCACCTCTGTCTTGCCAAGCAGCCCATTCCACTGTATCAGATAAAACTTGAATTCCTGGAGGCAGTTCTGCCTCTTTCAAAAAATGTTTAGCTTTTTCAGTGACTACTATTCTCACTTCAAAGTTATTACGCCATAATTTATCTACTAATTGTGGTAATTTAATTGTTGCAACACTACCAGTACAACCAATCAAAATCTTCTTTTTGAAAGTGCATGCCATTTTCACAAATTTATATTTGTTTTCCTTTCTAATGATTTGTTATTCACTATTTTTTATTTATAAAATTTATTTTTCTTCTATGGATGATACTAAGATGAAATGAGCTTAACTCTTATAGCTATATTAAATATTTTAGGCCATCTGATATGAGATACCTAAATACATCAATTAACAATAAACTACATTTAATAAAAGTATTTTTATTAATGATTTCTTTTCCCCTTAGATCTCTATATTGAATATATTTATATTATTAATAATAATTTATTTTAAATATTTAATATTTGCTCTGAAGCCTTTTTCTGCACTTGAGATCACTTTAATTCGATTGGATATTAAAAAAAATTCTCTATTAATATTATATCATTATTCAAAAATCATACTGAATAAATGCATTTATAGTTTAAAATACGTACATAAGTTATATGTCGCACAAATTTACAAATTCACTCTAAAATCCAAGTTTTATCCAAGATGAAACAAGAATCACCAGCAAAAAAGTTTATAAATACCATTCAAGTGATAAAAACAGTGATCTATAACTTTGCGACAATCGATTAGTAATAAATCCCTGCTGTTATGTCTCCTTGACCTCGTCAGAAAAACCAAGACTAGACCATTCTTCTCGTGCCATAAGCTCATTATCCATTCGACAAGAAAGGTATTCTTTTATAATATCACGACACATCGTGTTTTCGTTATTATTCTCAATCAAACAGCGCATATACTTGATCATAAGCCTTTTGCAAACACCCTCATGGTCGAGTGGAAAACTACCCTTTTCTGGAGGTATAGGTGTAAACACTTTTTGTGAAAATGTATACGATGACATCACTACCGCTGATTACGTTCATACAGAAAACTCGATGAATAACAAGAAAAAATATTCGATAAACTTCTTTTAAGTAAACTTATTACAAAATACACGATAAATCGTAACCGCCATTACGGAATAATAAATATACCAGCGCCACTTACGATGATATTTCTAACTTCATTTTACGCACGCTCTGTATTATATAATATAAAAAAGATATCCAATTTAAATTAGATATAAAATAAATAATAATAAATAATTATACTTTCGATAAATTTTTCGATAATTTATTTTCTTTTTAAAAAAAACAACAGTTGTACAGGAATTTATTCTATTCTTAATAGAATTAAGAAAAAACTTAAAATATAATTGATTATTTACTGAACAATGAAAATAGAAAAATTTCTATTGTATTCTAATTAAAAAAATAATAAATCAATAAAAAAAATGAAATGAGCTCCCTATATTTGCCATTAGAAAAATTAATATGAATGCAATTCTTTTCAAAAGATTTTGTATTTGCATGTAAGATAGAAACACAGATTAAACACACAGTAGATTTATTATTCGCTACATTTTTATGATACCATAGACAAAATACAAAATAGACAGATCAAAATAAATAGAATAGATTCTTGAATACACAGAGAATAAATATAGACAACAAAATCAAATAGAAAAGAAAAAAACATAAATAAAATAAAAATTCGAAAAACAGCATCATATCCAAAGTACCATAAATGAAACAATATAGACAAGGAAAGTAAACAATAGGAAAAGAATTGATCATCATTTTAAATGTTGAAAATTTATTTTTAAAATTATTGAAGAGATGGCATTAGTTTTTAATTTTAATTCTAACTTATCCTATTTTCGAATCTTTTTAGTTTTTAAGAAATAGCGCTGACTGTCAATTTTTATATTATCTCTATTTTATTTTCTTTTTATAATTTATTCTCCTTATTTATTATCTGTGTTTTATTTACTCTAGAGATAGTGTTGATTTCACGATTTTTAATCTATCTATTTATCTTTTTGCTATTTGCATTTCTTATCTATACTTGTCACTAGATAGAGATAATCTGATACTTGTTCTTAATGTCTTCAAAATATGAAAAAAAAATATATTAAATGTTACATCTACTCTGTAGTTTGTTTATGATTGTTTTGTGACACAAGATTCCATTAAATATAATAGAAAAAAATGTTAGATGCATGAAATTATATTAACATAGGTTATATTTTCATTAAGGTGAAAAAGAAATAACTGTTGTTATTAATACTATGAATTTATGTAAAATTATAAATATAAATATACTAGTTTTATATATTAATAATTAAAAATGGAAGAAAATGATTTAATAGAACAACAAGATCAAGAAAATCTGAAAAAAATAACATGGAAAGATTTGGTAAATTTAAAAATATCTACGAAAAACACATAACCTAATATTCTATCTTTTCTTTAAATGTATATACTTAATATTATAATATATATAAATATATATTATTTATGAATAAATATTTTTTAAAAATATAAAATTTTTTTGAAAATATAATATGGATGAAATATAATAATGTTATTTATTGCAGGGTATTGTAGATATATTACATAAAGCATGTGAAGATCTGAAATGGAAATCACCTACAAAAATTCAATGTGAAGCCATTCCTTTAGCACTTGAAGGTAAATTAAGAAAATTATATATTTTAAAATAAAAAATTATAATGATTAAATAGAAACATGAAATAAATAATTATATTTAATATTATAAATAATTTTAGGTAAAGATATAATAGGATTAGCTGAAACTGGTTCTGGTAAAACTGCTGCTTTTGCTCTTCCTATTTTACAAGCACTTTTAGAAAATCCTCAAAGATATTTTGCTTTAATTTTGACACCCACTAGAGAATTAGCTTTTCAAATATCAGAGCAGTTTGAAGCTTTAGGTAAACAATAATATAATAAACAATATATAAACAATATATATTTTATAATAAAATAGAATAATATAAACATAATTATATTATATTATGTTATAGGATCAAGTATTGGAGTAAAATGTGCAGTAATAGTAGGTGGAATGGATATGATGTCCCAAGCATTAATATTAGCAAAAAAACCACATATTTTAATTGCTACTCCAGGAAGATTAGTTGATCATTTGGAAAATACCAAAGGTTTTAGTCTACGTTCTTTAAAATTCTTAGTAAGCAGTAATAATATTTTCATTGTATATGTTAAAAAATTCAATATATTTATCATTTTAATATTAAAAGGTCATGGATGAAGCAGATCGAATTTTGAATATGGATTTTGAAGTTGAAGTAGATAAAATTTTAAGAGTAATTCCGCGAGAAAGAAAAACATTATTGTTTTCTGCTACAATGACCAAAAAAGTACAAAAATTGCAGCGTGCATCTTTACGAAATCCTGTTAAAGTGGAAGTTTCAACAAAGTATCAAACTGTTGAAAAGTTACAACAATATTACATTTTTATTCCTGTCAAATTCAAGGTGCAAAATAATTTATTAATTTTAATATTTTTTAATATTTAAAATTTCTCTTTTCATAATAAAATTTTATGTTATAGGATGTATATCTTGTACATATTTTAAATGAATTAGCAGGTAATAGTTTTATGATATTTTGTGCAACTTGCAATAACACAGTTAGAACTGCTCTTCTTTTGCGAAATTTGGGTTTCACTGCTGTTCCTTTACATGGTCAAATGTCACAGAATAAAAGAATAGCTGCACTTACTAAATTTAAAGCCAAAAATCGATCTATACTTATTTCCACTGATGTTGCCAGCAGGTAAATATATATTAATTAATTAATATATTTACTTAATTATAAAAATATTATCTTTAATTTATATTTATTATAGAGGTCTTGATATTCCGCATGTGGATATTGTAATAAATTTTGATATACCTACACATAGTAAAGATTATATACATAGAGTTGGACGTACTGCACGTGCTGGTCGTTCTGGTCGTTCCATAACATTCGTAACACAATATGATGTAGAATTATATCAAAGAATAGAACAGTTAATATCAAAACAATTACCATTATATCCAACTCAAGAAGAAGAAGTAATGGTACTTGAAGAAAGAGTAGCCGAAGCACGACGTATTGTGAAAATGGTAAAATTAATTATTTCTATTTGATTATTATGACAATTATATTATTGATAATAATTATAATAATAATAATTACAAACGCTATGGTATTATTAAGGAAATGAAAGACATCGAGGACAGTAAAAAAATAGGTAAACGAAAGAAGCGACAAGATGACGATGAAGATGATACAGAACAATCTTTAGGAGTTAGAAAAAGAATAAAAGGAAAAAATAAAAAACAAGGGAAAAGGTTTTAAACAGTTTAACTGTTTTATCACACACAAGTATATTTACTTTTTCTTAATAAATAATAGAAATGCAAGATAGTATTTGTTTTTATTGGCATTGTTATTTGTTTGTTTTTATAAATCAAACCACCATTTCCCTCATATGTATATCTCATGTATCTATTCCAAACTCAATTTGTATTAAGATCCTTAATTAATTATTAATTTACAAAACCACATTTTATTTCCTTCTGCAACATTCAAATATTTATCTTTAGTAAGATATTGAAAATGATTTCCTTTGATGATTATCGCTATATGAATTTATCATCATATAATAAACTTGATCAAACAGTTCTCAATGAAAAGTTACAAATAAAAACCATATTTAGAGATAGTAAAATAAAAAAATTCTTTAATATTTAAAGTATGCTCTAAGTATTGCTCTATGTAATAATTTATTTGCAAAGAATAAATATCTTTATCCAAATAAAAATAGTGTAAATTTTAAATCATTCAAAATCATAATCTTTTAATCATTGTCATTTAAAATTTTCTGCATTATTTGTTAATATATAATTAAGTTAAGAGACTAATGATTTTACAATTTACCAAATTATAAAATAATTTAAAACAGAATTTTATTTTTTGGAGAATATGAGACAAAGATTAAAAGTATTTAATATATTCAAAAAATAATAAATTTATAATAAATGCAGAAATGTTAGGAAATACTTAAATATATAATTCGTTAATTTTTTTTTCTCAAATTTCTATAGAAAATAAAATATTCTACATGGTTTCATAATACAAAATACCCAGGAACAATAATGTTCCATTTTACTTTTATAATTAAAATGCAACATTTATATATATAAAAGCGACAGTATTCAACTGTATAAAGTAGCAACAAATTCTTATTTTTTATCTTTCGCATATAACATTATATTTTTTTCTATACATCAGACTGCAAAACGATTTTCATCAAAGGTGCATTGAAAAATAATGTAATACTGCATAAAATGAAAAATGCTTGATTCAATTTGTATGTGGTATTCACTTTAAAATATGCTAATTAAAATGCTGTAATATAAATTGCAATTCTTATCCATCTAACTTCCATTAATGTAACAAGCATGACACCTTCGATATACGTTAAAATAATGAACACCATTGAAGGGTCATTGATATTGTTGATATAATCATATTGCAAAATGTTTGCAAAATATGTTAAGAATAAATCTGAAACACGTTACAACTTATAAATCAACATTTACTATAATATTTTTTTGTATTCTCAAGAAATATGATTATTCGATGTAGTCATCGAATGTTATCTTTGAAGTAAATTGAAAAAAATCATGGATAGATACTATCATGCAAATATAGTGGTCGTCGCAATTTCATTTATAACAAGAGTATTTGCTTAGAATATATCTATTCTTTGTTCAATAAGTTTAATCATCATCGTAAAGCTAAATCGATCAGGTGAGAAATCTCAACTTTTTTTATTACTAACGAATGCAATATGCCTAATCTCGTTGTCGAAGGCTTTTTTAGTGATAAATAACACGTGTGCAGGCGATCACTTCAATTTTTGAAGTAAAAGCTTTTTGTCTGAATTTATTTATTTCAAATATCGATACTATCTGCATCATTTAACAAGAAAGATTAAAAAGATAAGGAAATATACACACACATATATATATACATATACAATATATATACATATACATATATATATACATATCAAACTACCGAGAATCTCTCTCCTTTATTTTTTTTTTTTAATTCACAGATGCTTTATCGCACATTACATAGTATCGACAATTTATAATAAATAAA